GCTCCTTTGGGGAGAGATTATGTCAAGCATGCCAACTTTAAGGCCTCTTATGTTGGCAACGAGACCTTATCTCGCAAGGTTCCTCGCGAATCATGCAGTACAGCTACTGTTGTACACATTTAATTAAGTGTAATCCAACTAAGGTGTTTCCTGCAGGTTCCTTTCGAAGGCGCACTTCGCCAAAAACCGTGCCGTTCATCCTTCGGGAGACATGTATCTCAAACATGCCAAATTTGAGACCTCTTATCTCGGCAACGAGACCTTATATCTCAAAGTTCCCCGGGGATCGTATACTACAGTTAGTGGTGCATAGAATTCATGAATTGTCGGCCGACTAAGGTGTTTTCTGCAGGTTCCCCTAGAAGGCGAACTTCGCCAAAAAGCGCGCCGTTCGCTCCTTTGGGGAGAGATTATGTCAAGCATGCCAACTTTAAGGCCTCTTATGTTGGCAACGATACCTTATCTCGCAATGTTCCTCGCGAATCATGCAGTACAGCTACTGTTGTACACATTTAATTAAGTGTAATCCAACTAAGGTGTTTCCTGCAGGTTCCTTTCGAAGGCGCGCTTCGCCAAAAACCGTGCCGTTCATCCTTCGGGAGACATGTATCTCAAACATGCCAAATTTGAGACCTCTTATCTCGGCAACGAGACCTTATATCTCAAAGTTCCCCGGGGATCGTATACTACAGTTAGTGGTGCACAGAATTCATGAATTGTCGGCCGACTAAGGTGTTTTCTGCAGGTTCCCCTAGAAGGCGAACTTCGCCAAAAAGCGAGCCATTCGGTCCTTCGGGGAGAAGTTGTAAAATATGCTAACTTGGGGGTTTCTTATCTTGGCAACTACGCCTTATCACGCGAAGTTCCCCGGGAATCATGTAGCACACGTTATAGAGTATCTGTTTAATTTTGTTTAAGTCGTGTAGGTCGTTTCCTGCAAGTTCCCGAAAAGGCACACTTGCCCAAAATTTGCGCAGTTCACTACTTAGGCCATTGATATTCCCGAAGTAGCTAAATTAAGCATTTTTTATATTAAGAAGCAAGTCGTAACTTGAAAAAACTCCAATGGAATCGTATAGTACTACCACTAGGATGCATATTTTATCTGTCGAAGGTATTCCTATTTTTGGCCGTGCGAAATGCAAAACAGAAAAGAAGCTTGTGACTTTCATAAAAAGCTTGTACTTTTTTGCACCTTCGGCGTTGTTAACTTTTGTGCCCGAGAAACGTTCCAGAACTCAAGCAAGTTTTAAATAAAGTAGTCCTGATACGTGCCATTTTTATGCATGTTAACACAAAAATGTTAAGTGACCTTTCTTGTAGGTTATGCAACCATGCAGGGAAGGCACATACGCCAAGCGAGTGGGCGATGTAATTAACTATCTCCCAGGAAAACTGGGAGAATGTATGTATAACATAGCTGCTTACTGTTTTTGTTAGCGTACCCGTCCCACTACATTATCCGGGAACTTTGTAAAATTCAACATTTTTCAGTCGTAAACTTAATAAAATTAACAAGAGAAACGTACAATTTCGTAAGAGCCCATTACGTGTTTTACCCAAGGAATCGAGAAAAACAGTTTTACGGGGCTGATATTTCATCTCACCCATTTAAATTGGGGGAACTTTACGTTATTCGATTTGGATCACGTAGATTCTATTGTTATTTGGCCGATTACGCCACTTCAGCCGAGAGATGATGCAACTAGTTTTTGCCTGGGAATCTTCGGGATACTTTAATATAGTGCAAACAGTATTAAGAAGCTTCGCTCCGTTCAACATCAATATAAATGCTCGAAACTCACATAACAAGATTGTACGTGATTGTGTGCAATAAATCAATAACATCAAGAGCACACCTTTACCTAACAGCTTTATTTCACATCGCCACCTGCAGTTTCTACTGGATAGTAGCCGGTTAGTATTGCGTCTTGAAACAGCACGAACCAGTGACTCCTCGCTGGCCAAAATAACAATCACTTCCATTTGCGAATTCAAAAGATGCCCGGTGAAACATACGGCCTTGAATTGTGCGTGTCATCTAGTATCGCGTGAAGTTCGGCTGTAATTTGTGCTATTCAGTTGAGGCATTAGGGTAAAATACATTGCTGGTGCCAGAAAACATGCCACACTTCACCGTAGTTATGTTTGCTTTCAGGTTGATAGGCATCATATTGTCGTGATCCTATTGTCTAGGTTAATCTTTGTTTATTTTCGTCAACTTAATCTGATGCCGTTAGCCAAGAACACGAGAAAGCTAACGCGAATGCTAATCCACTTTTTGTCTTCCGGAGAACGATGCTTTGATCATTAACCACAATACTGCCACCCTACGAGGGGTCATGGGTTTTACTTATCTTTCGTCTTGCAAAAATATTGTCACGAATCACAGTTTATGAGGCGAAGAAAACTGCAACAAACTAAATGTTTAATGGGGCGAACTTGTGCTCATAACAGAAAGGAAACAGAATATAAAAATAGAGCGTCGCGGGCGTCGATGGTGGCGTAACAGCAGAGTCGAACGCTGGGGCAGAGACTGACTCCGGCTTGCCACGCGGAGCACCTTTTGTAGCCGCGTGGGTTTCTGGAACATTCGGCCTAGAACGTTCGACGCGTGGAACATTCGTAACTCGATCAGACGAGAAAGTTCTCGAGTGTGCGAGAACGCCGAGTAGAAAGAATAAATAAAGGAACATTCCGCTTCCTGAAATCGAAACCAGATTCTCCACGCGACAGCCAAGTACGGTAACCAATCGGCTACGTGCGCGCTCGTTCAGCGACGCGCGTGCAATATGTACCCTGGACATTTTCCAAAAAATTGAGTTTAAGCCAAATTCGAGACATACAGGGCATGCGAATAAAATTCACCATAAATGTAGATATAAAAACATAAAGCGGTCTTTCCCGTAGGGTGTGTCGTACCGCGGGAAAAACACTGCGGGGCGAGGGCTGGAGCGGCAATCAATTATCGCTCTGGGAACCTGAGAGAATTCTGGTAAATGTTAGCTGTTGATACATTTTGACAGCATACAGTCTCTTCTTAGTATACCTAGGAAATCTTTCTGAAATACTGAATGGTTGTTTTATAAACTCACGAGAACTACAAAATATAGTGAGATTTACGTAGGGGTCTATGGGAGCGAAAACCAATTTTTCCTTGGGAACCTAGAAAACTAATCGGAGCGTGTTGGAATTTCTCCCATACTTTTAAATCGCCCCTATCTTAAAAAATCCTGGGGAACTTTTCGTTATTTTATCTTTATCGGATAGATTCAATTGCTATTTGGGCGATCGCACACACCTGCCAAGAGATGGCGCAAGTGGGTCATGTCTTGGGTTCTTTGGCAATAAAGCAGTTATTGCCAAAGAAAGCATTTATGACAATTCTAAGGGAAGCTCATTGTTGTTTGAGGCGAGGACGGGTGTTCTGCGAACCAGAACATACAGAGCGAAGTACCAGGAAATGGATACAGTGTGCACTGCTTGTGGAGAGGAGGACGAGACGGCTGAGCACTTGATACTCTGCTATAAAGAGCTTCACCCTATGCCTGCCGAAGACAACATAAATTTAATCAAGTCATTGGGTTTTAGAGACAGCGAAGGGAGAGTGGATTTCAAGACTGTAGAGATTACCAAGCAAAGATTAAGTGAATGGTGGCAGAAATCGAGAGAAAACTAGGTATTTTCTTATTCACTGATGGCAAGGGGGTTTCATAGCCTCACTTGCTTTGCACTGAGGAGTGAATATAGATTTCACATTTAAATATTCTAAGCTTAAATGGTAAAACAAAATGGCTAGGTGGCGTAAGCTACCGCCCGATCCAAAGGGCTCAGCCGTATTCATCCATCCATCCATCCATCCTTGGGGACGTACGCGCGAGAACTGTCGAATCAACAAGCAAGAACTGTCGAATCAACTGATTGGTTGCAGATACATGTTGAGCTAGGTTAATTCCTGAGGGAATTGAGCAACGAGAACGACGGTGTACCTGCCGGATGCTATCGTTATTGGAGCGGAAAACCGATCTACTTAAAACTGTCCATAAACAGGTAAATCGGCCGACAGCGTAACCATAAAGGTAGGAATATATATATTTTTCTACCTTTATGGCTACGATGTCGACCGATACATATGCTGAAATGAGTGTCGCAGATGGGCGAAATATGCACCTCTAGTTTGGTGACAGGTCCTTAGGGCCGGGTCAATTTAAATAAACCTTTTAGACATACAATACATTATTCAAATATTTGGCGAGGTGACGTCACGATAAGAAGTTTTGGCAGATCACTCCGATCCCTCTGATAATGATACCCTGCATGCGTAGAAAGTTCATTGGAGTATCGGCACGGCCTCCGGTGGGGAGTGCAGAATACCTGCCCCCCCCCCCCCCTTCTCTTTTTTTTTTTTGGGGGGGGGGGGGGATTTTGGGGGTATTAGTTTTCGTAGATCGTTTCTCCCGCCCCGCGACTCTTTTGTATAATGCATGAACAGTGCGACTGCGACGCTATGGTTCCTATACATGCCTTGCACGCGACGTCATATGGCACCGTACCAGCCGCCATTGCTCCATACCACACTCCTGTGCCCGTACCTTCTGCAGCAGATATTTGGCAACATCGAATCCGCTCTTCTTGGTAACCCTTGCGGAGAAGAACAGATTCGATGATGCCAAATGTATGCTGCAAGAGGGACGCGCACAGGAGCATGGTTCGAAGCAATGTGAACGAGAAGCAAGGCGTAAACCTGAAGCCATCCTGTTCATCAAACCAACACCGTCAAAGTTGACACTTTGGTCCTATTAAAGACTTCGATCCTACAAACGGTAAAGAATAACTAAAAAAGAAAGGATTTTGTGATTATTTTTTGCGAAAAGAATGCTTGAGAGACGAGAACAGCGTTCGGGAGGACTTCATCGGGCTCGTGACCGCTCACGAGTTCCCGTTCAATTGTTTTCGGGTCGGGGAGCAACAGAGCAGAAGAGCATACTATAGACCATGGCTTGACGGCGTACCCAAGTTATGTTTTATTGAAACATATACTTGTCGTGTTCTGTTTGGACCCTTCCCGTATGCGGTGTTGAGAAGACTGGTGAAACCAGATGTGCGCTTTGCTGGAAATGCGTTGGAGAGTGAGTTGAAGTGATGATTCCTCGACGGTGGTGATTCTGCTAGCTGCGAGGTGCCTCCTCACTTCTAAACCTTCACTCTTCATCCCACGGTGTCACCTTGCGGTCGTTCCATACAAACTCCCCTTTTGGTGACTCGATGTTCTGGGGGAGGAGTGCCAAGTAAGTTGGGGCATCGGCTCCTGTTGAAAGGAGTGTCGGAAAAACATGATCTATACAATTATATTGATTGCAACGAAAATGGCCAATCATATAACTTTTAGCCTAGCGTTGACAGCAAAAAATCCTTCTATCAACATTAAAGCGGAGATGACAAAGACGTGCGTATAATGGTGAGAGGAGGAATTCTTGCCTTGGTCAGGCGTCAGAAGTCCCCTGTGACTGGACATGTCAGTGGCCACATAACCCGGGTGTACCTGTTCAACAGTAAAACAAATTATGCGGAAGGAAACTTCCCGGATGTGATCACTGTTCATAAAATATTTACGAGTCTCAACATCCTTACCAAAGTTTACCCATTATAAAAAAATCACAAAAAACGTTACATTTTTAACATGCGTGGAATTGACAGACAACTCTAGTGGGCTGTCGTTACACAGCAGAGTTGCTATTTTCACTTTCTACTGCGTTCAAGCACCCACACTGTGGCTCAGCTCCATGACATTAAAATCAAAATTATGTTCAGTACTCCTTGAACAAGCACAATAATTAATTCGGCTCCATATATGTGCGATGAAAAAGTGGCTTACTGCGTTGACGATCAGGTCTTCGCGGGAGTCACCGTTGAAGTCCCGTTGCTGGATGAAGGCGAGCACGGTGACGCCAACCTTGGACACGTTGTAGGCGGAGCTTCCCCAGCCCTTGTCGACGTTGGCACCGTCCTTCGAGTCCCTATCGTGAACGAGAAGAATAAAAGCTGGTTCACACACTGCGACCGAGCGCGCTGTGCACGTTCGCGGCGAGAGAAACAGTCCGGCCCGCTGGCACCATCTATCCCAGAAAACAATTCCGATCCCAGTACAACTAGGTTGAAGGTTCTGCAGTATTTGCGAGATGAAAGCTGCGCACCGTCAATGAGAAATTGTTGGTTGTAACTTTTTAAGAGTTATTTCAAGCCCAAGAGAAAAAAATGGTGCGTAAAAGAACTAGGAAATATATACGCAGATGGAGAGTGTTGCAGGCCTATCCGATAGATGGCCTCAGTGTGTTCTCTCGTCTTTTGAGAGCCTTTCGATCGGGGGTCACGTGGTCACGAACTTGGCGCTCTGATATCATCGCAACCCCAGTGCAGGAGTCAGACAAACTTGCGTTCCGCATATGATGTCGCTCTGTTGCATTTATTCGTGGTGTCATGCACCCACAGTCAGTCACCAATCCCCACCCGGCTCCATAGCATGCGGAAAAAAGCCTAAGCCAGACGGTCTCTGACAATGCACAACGCCGTGGAGTGGGGAGGTTTTTTTGGGATTTCTGAACATTGATCGGCGGCTGTGGATTTAGGAATACTCACTGTACGAACTGGTTCATCAGGTCACAGAGCTCGTCCAAGGTA